ACACTGAAATTGCAAGCTGGTGAAACAATTAAATGCCCAAATAAACAACCACACATTAACTTAAACAAAATCTCTCCACAAAGCAAACGGCCACTAGATATAGACAAATGCTAACAAATTGACCTCACCTCATGGACATTGAATCCCGGATGAGACCCCCTTTGTTACGACCCACCCTTAAAAATTGCCCTATGGGGCTAACAAAATTAAACCACTGACCCAAATAGAACACGAAAGACACCTTTAAAATCATCAAATCCCCACACCAGAGGCCTCTCTCTTCTGCTGCACTGGAGCTTTTAAGCACGTTCTTCTCCAGGTGCACCTCGTCTGAACCTCGTAAGGTCCCTCCAAAGGGAAAAAGAAACGAGAGGGGTCTGCCTGCAGACCTTCACTCTCAGGACAGTTCCGGTGCAGACCTCCACTCTCAGGACACCTCCACTGTCAGTACAGGAAGTGACGATTCTGACGTGTGCTAGCTAATAGTGATGCTAATGATAGCTAATTCCTAATAGTAGTATGTGTGTCGTTTGTACAGTGCTACTTATATGTTATGTAAAGCCTGCATACTTATATGTGTTTTATTTCTGTATTGTTACAGTTTTACAAAGTAAAAGAAGAAAAGTAAAGTCAAGAAAGAAAACCTTGCATCTTTATTGGAGGACTTTTAAATGTTAGCTAACTGTCTAGCTATGCATAGGGATACACGCTGTAAGGGCAGAACAGTTCAATCCATCTAAATCAGGGGTGGGGAACCTCCGTCCCCCACCCCAACGCAGCACACCCTCCCGGCCATCATAGTTGAACCCGCAGTTCGGAGGAACCGACCGCCAGAGCATCGGCACTAGGCCGGGCCGGCGCGGAGGCCCTCCGACAGTGGGTCGCGTTTGCCATTCGATCAGTGAGAGGAGAGGAGAAAAATGCAACAAAAATTGTCAAAATCCGTTAATATATGGATGAGTGGGGGGGGGGGGGGGGGGGGAGGCTGACAAAGGCCGCGGGAGGACACCCGAGACCGGGCAATGTCCCCGATAGAAACCGGGTGAAATAGCCAATAAAATCAAAAATAATAAAATAGGGGAGAAAGTGAAAAAAAGTGTCCGAAAATAGGCACTCGTGAGGCGGGCAGAGTCCCCTGTCAACTCCCGTTACATTCCTCCATTGTGTCATTTGAGCGAAAAACTTTTACGAGAACCAGGCTGGGGGGGTCAAAAGGGCTTGACCAAGGCCGACCCAAAGTGCACGGTGGGCGTGCTGAGTCTCCATTGTGATTTGAAAAATTGCATCAAACGAGTCCTTCGGTGGGCGGGAAAAAAAACGTGTTTGTCAGAATCGTCACTTCCTGTACTGACAGTGGAGGTGTCCTGAGAGTGCAGCCTGCACCGGAACTGTCCTGAGAGTGGAGGTCTGCAGGCAGGCTCCCATGAAAGAAACAGGGAATACATACAGCTCCACCTGCAGCTCCACCCGCTGTGACGGACCGGTGAGCGGAGCAAAAGACACACTAAGAGTTAGACCTAACACACTTAGCTACTTTATCTACCTCTGGAACAAGCTAAAATAGTTATACATATATTTATTCTTCACTGTCGGGTCACTCATTACTGGATCAGTGAGCTGCATGAGACGGATACTGAAGGGCTGTCAGGAGAGAGAGAGAGAGAGGGAGAGAGAGGGAGAGAGAGGGAGAGAGGGAGAGAGCGCTTCCGCTCATTTCTCCCGTGTTATTATCCAAAGTTAATGTAAACTTGAATAATGTACTTCATTTGAATGTAATAATTATGTTGGTTGTTGTTGTGGAAGCGCCAGTGAATGAGCCCCATTAACTGAGCCCCATTAACTGAGTTTTAAACATCACTTTAAATGGAAGATCCCCATAGGCCCCGCCCACTCGATCGGATCGGCGATCGGTATCGGCCGATACCGATTCCGGCAATCGGCCCCAAAATTGGCGATCGGAGCATCCCTAGTAAACATTTGAAATGTAGCATTTAAGTGTTTCTCAGTTACAAGGTTGTTTTTTTAATAAATCAGACACTGATTGCAGCGCTGTACTGTACCTCTTTATATAGGCTTTTTGTCCCTAACAAATAGTTTTTGCGCTGATCAAGGGGTACTTGGCTGACATTTTTTTTCAAAGGGGGTACATTATTGAATACAGTTTGAGAACCACTGCACTAAAGTACTACCAATCATGCATCCAGTATTACAGGCTTTCAGTCACTTGGACAGATCATCAATATAAAGGTTGAAAATAACTGGGGACATGATTCCACCTTGTCTGACACCATTGCTAACCCCAAATGGGGCTGAGACCCTATTGCCCCATTTTTACATTGCATTTTACTTGCCCAGTTTGACTTGCATAGTCTGGTGGCCATACCAGTAGACCAGAACTCTCACAATGTATTTGGGCACCCCTCTTTGACTCAGTTTAACAAATAACTTCCTATGATTAACACGATCAAAGGCTTTAGAAGCATCAATGAAACACATAAGAACTGATGAGTTATTACCTCTATATGTGTATACCATTTCCTTTAAGGCATACACAAGTCAGTGCCATGTTTAGCCTTAAAGCCAAACTGGTTATCTGTTGAGTTAATAAAGTCATCTAATCTGTCCAGCAGAATTCTTTCTAGGACTTTTGACAATATGCTGGCTAACGCTATGGGCCTATAGTTCAATCAGGAGAGACGTGATGTATGGAATACATATTTATTATCGGTCACATTATATAAATGAAACATAATGATGACAGTTTATAACAAGTGAATGAAATGGTGTTTTGGCGATTAGGCCCAGGTTTTGTAGGATATCAATCGTGAAGGGAAGAACCGTTTCCGATGAACCCCCAAAAGAATGAAGTATGAAGTACTGAACGTGAAGAATCTTACCTTGTGGGATGCAGTGGAAATCTTTGGATGGAAATGAGAGGTTAATACATGTGAGAATTTAAACATCTGATGCCTCCCGGGCATCCTTCCTGGACATACAGGGCTTCCCGGACGTACGGGGCATCCCGGACGGGGCATCCCGGATGGGGCATCCTGGACGTACAGGGCGTCCCAGACGTACGGGGCATCCTGGACATACAGGGCGTCCCGGACGTACGGGGCATCCCGGACATACGGGGCATCCCGGACGCACCGAGCGACCCGACGTGCGGGGCGCCCGTAACATGCAGGGCTTCCCGAACGTGCGGGGCAACCTGACTTTAGCAGGGACACATTATACGGACCGGAGGTTAACGACCCGGACATATGGGGCTTCCCGGACGTACGGGGCATCCTGGACGTACAGGGCGTCCCGGAAATACGGGGCATCCTGGACATACAGGGCATCCTGGACATACAGGGCATCCTGGACGTACAGGGCGTCCCGGACGTACGGGGCATCCTGGACATACAGGGCATCCTGGACATACAGGGCGTCCCGGACGTACGGGGCATCCCGGGCGAACGGGGCATCCCGGGCGAACGGGGCATCCCGGACGCACCGGGCGACCCGACGTGTGGGGCGCCCGGAACGAGCAGGGCTTCCCGAACGTGCGGGGCAACCTGACTTTAGCAGGGACACATTATACGGACCGGAGGTTAACGACCCGGACATACGGGGCTTCCCGGACGTACGGGGCATCCTGGACGTACAGGGCGTCCCGGAAATACGGGGCATCCTGGACATACAGGGCATCCTGGACATACAGGGCATCCTGGACGTACAGGGCGTCCCGGACGTACGGGGCATCCTGGACATACAGGGCATCCTGGACATACAGGGCGTCCCGGACGTACGGGGCATCCCGGGCGAACGGGGCATCCCGGACGCACCGGGCGACCTGACGTGTGGGGCGCCCGGAACGAGCAGGGCTTCCCGAACGTGCGGGGCAACCTGCCTTAGCAGGGACACATTTATACAGACCCGAAGGTTTTACAACCTGGACATACAGGGTTAGATATGCAGGAATAAACATGAGCCGCGGGGCGACATATGTGCTGACATGCTAGGAACCACCACCAGTTATATGCATACGTACCAATTTTAAGGTTGGAGAGACCTTTGGATAGCCAGCACGGCATTGAGGTCAGGGCGAATGTAGGATGAGAAAGCGGAGGAGGACCACCGTCCGAGTTGTTGCAGGGATGAGGATGAGACACCTTGATTAGCAGCGGAAGTAGCTGCGCCTATTCTAAAGGAATGCCCCGTGTATAGAAGGGGTGATAACCCGGATTTAATGAGGACTTGTTTTAAATAGATATTGAACTGTCGTTGAGTTAAAGGAAAATTCCCTGAGATAAGGAATAATGGTGAGAGAGGATTAGAGGTAGGTCTAAGCTGTAGGAATTTGATCATGGATTTATAAGGGCAGAACTGGGAGTCGATGCGGGCGGCGATGACGGAGCAGGCGCCGCCGCATTTGGAGTGTTTAAGATATAAGCTAAAATGGCTAGCGTGAAAGGATATGTCAGAAAAGCTGACGTCTCGATTGGAATCGAATGTAAGGGAAGCTGTGGTAAATTCACCTGGTCTGAGAAAGGCATAAAAAGCTAGGAGAAATAGAGCATTGAGTAGCGCATCGATATAAGGGGAGAATAACCCACTTCTAAGTTTGGAGAGCATGAGGCGTAAAGTGGAGAGTGTAATAGGGCGTCTCCGGTCTAAGACGGGGGGAAAAGTTTTAATGAGACCTTTGAGGATGAGTTTGACTGACTGGTTTGCGAACAGGCTGGGAAAGCCGGGATCGGAACAGCGAACGTTAAACTGCACTCCTGCTAAGAGGCCCCGGATGTATTGGGGTTTGAGGTGGCGATCAGTGGCGCAGTAGCACATGAAGGCACACACGTTGGAGATGAGAACAGGTTTAAGTGTGATGCCTACGGAAAAGCAAAACATCGCGAACGTTCTCCAAGCGAAATCATATGTTTTGAGGGTGGACGCGGCTAAGCCCTTCCTCATAAAAAACCTGGCTGATTCGAGGTGCCTTTCTAGGGGGCTTCTATTTAGGAGAGAGAGAGGAGATGCAGGGGAGGAATCCTGACGGGTTGAGCGCTGGCTCCTGGGCAGAGGTTCCGGAACGTCTGGAATTGGAAGCGAGAGAGGGAATCAGCCACTGACTTAAGGTGGCCGGGAACATGACGAGCGGAGATGAGGAAGTTGTGGGTGATGGAAGACCACGTGATGCTTCTCATGAACGGCATAATGTCACGGCACGGGGAGCGTGCTTTGTTAATAATCCCGACCACTGATTGGTTGTCACAGAGTACTGAGATCCGCTTCCGGGGCCAGAGGTGACCCCACACGTGGCAGGCGACAGCGATCGGAAAGATCTCATGCAGAGCGGAGGAAGAGGCATGGCTGGGAAATGACGGAGGCCACGAGCCTGCGAACCACTCTCCCTGAAAAAAAAACCCAAAACCCACGGATGGGGCAGCGTCTGTGAAGAATCTCATGGAGTCGGAGGAGTACACGAGGTCGTCGTAGAAGAAGGTAACGCCATTCCAGTGTACGAGCAGGAGGGACCAAAACCGTAGGTCTGAGCGGCAGCCTTCATCTAGAAAGACGTGGTCATGGAGGTTTTCTGCAGCCGACGCTGTATCCAGGAGCCGGGAGATAAAAGAGCGCCCCTGAGGGATGATACGCATGGCGAAATTGAGGTGCCCGAGCAGGGAGAGCAGCTGCTGCTTGGTGATAACTTGTTGCTCGCAGAAGGCTTTTGAGATGTCGCGAATGCGCTGCAGTTTGTCCGTGGGGAGAGACGCTTCCATGTCTACGGAGTCGAGTGTAATGCCCAGAAACTCCAGGCATGTGTTGGGACCTAGCGTTTTCTCTTCTGAGAGGGGAACGCCTAACTCCTGAAAGCATGTTTTGAGTTTTGCTAGAGAGTCGCCTGAGTTGTCCCGAGGGGGATCTATGAGGAGGAAATCGTCCAATAAGTGAAGAACGGAGGGGATTCTGACGATGTTCAGGAGGATCCAGCAGAGGGCTTCGGAAAAAGAATTAAAGATACAAGGGCTACTTCTGCACCCGAAGGTTAGACGGACAGCGAAGTAGAATTTGGACTCCCACCTGATACCGAACATGTGCCACTGAGATGGGTGAATGGGAATGATTTTGAATGCGTCGGTGATATCTGCTTTGGAGAGCCACGCTCCTTGCCCTGCGAATTTGATGAGCTTGATGGCATTATCGACTGAAGCGTAGTGAAGTGAAAAATACTCGGGGGGAATAAGGCTATTGATGCTGCAGAACGGCCCAGCGCGAGGAGCGGACAGATCGACCGTGTAGCGACCCCTATTGGGCTTGTCCGGAACACTGGGAACGGAGAGGAATGGAAAGGACCGATTAAATATCCTTTGTTGAGCTCTTTTTTAATGAGCTGAGAGACTATAGTGGGTTCTTTGGCGGCTGACTGCAGGTTTTTTGCCACTAGAGTCACTGAGGGGGGAGAGAGAACCCCTACCCTGAACCCTTGAGAGAGCCCTGACAACAGATAATCAACGAACACGGGATTTGGGTGAGTCGAAAGTGCAGCTGCTAAGTGTGTGGTGTTAATGGGAGTCAAGGGGTGATGTTTTAAGAGGTTTTTCCACCACGTTGATTCTGGCGCGGGAAGGGGAGCCGGCGCCTGGGGCAAACTGACCTCGGGTGGGCCTCCCTGCAAGTACTGCAAATATGGAGAAAAGTACAATAGGGGTAAGAACATACGTTCTCATTAAAAGCACCGCAAATCTTATTGTCCCTTTGCTTAATCACCTGACGGTTTATTTTAATGTTCCCAGAATACTGCGTGGGGAAAATGCTAGACCCGGAGAGAGGTACTGAAGGGCAGAGCGGAGAGGTGTGGCCCTGCGCTCTGCAGCTAATGCATGAGACGACTTGTTGCCCGCCGGTAGCCATAACGAGCAGCTCGGTATCCAGCACGGACCAGCCCAGGCGGATGTTGCTATGAGCTAAGTATAGCGCTGCTTTGCTAGAGGAGCTTTTGTGGTATTGATAGAACACTATTTTCCCGTATTTGATGTGAAGATCTCCGATCATGGCCAGATAAGCGTCTAACTCCACTCTCCTTCCAGGGTAAACTGTGCAGAGAACATCGCGGAAAATGCTAAAAGCTACCAGGAATTGCCCTATAGAAAGGTCTTTGAGGAGCCGGGGTCTGCGGATTTAAATACCGCAGTAATGCTTCCTCCTGTGGCGATGGCTTTGTCGCACTCCGGGGAAGGCAGGATGAGGCTGACCAAATTAATGTCTTTCCCGTCTAGGATTTTTGCCCGGAGCCGTGAGGAGATGTTAGCGGCTTGGGGGATGTAGGGCCTACCTGAGGGAGGAGCCGGGAGGGCGGAAGCCAGAGAGTAAGATGGAGCTACCGAGCCAGATGTAAAATCCTGACCCAGCGGGGCCGCCGAAGAGGTTGAAGCTCCGGCCTGACCTCTCTCCATGGACTGAAGGCGAGCGTCTATTAACAGCATGGAACTTGCCAAAGATTGCAGAGTGTTGGCTAGTCTGCCGTCGAAGGGGGGCTGAGTGCCGGAGCTCCCGGGCTGAGCGGTGCTGGGCTGCTGAGCACCGCTGGAGTGAGCCTGAGGAGTGGAGGATTTTTTGGCCGAGTGAGCTCCTGGAGGACTCGCTTTTTTAGGCCTTTTGCCCCCGCGAGCGCGCCCTCGCCCTCTTCCGGGGGGGCTGGCTGGGGCTGCTGGCCTGGGCTGGGAGACCGCGCCGGAGGCTTGGTCCGACTGCTCACGGAGCTGAGAAAGCAGGAGATCTGGGGCTGGTGTGATGCCCTGCTTCTTGAGGTGGGCGACGAGGAATTCTGCCTCTGCTGAGCGAGAGCCGCTGCGGGCGCTCAGACGAGAGCTGGAGCGACGGTGATTTACAGAGTTGGATGCTTCCTCTGAAAGGGTATCGGAGACGGGATCGAGATCCTTCGAAAAAAGTAAGTCCTCTGAGGAGTCTGAATTAGACATGTTGAGCGTTTGTTTTGTTTTTGTTTTTCGTATCCAGTGTTTAAAGGTGGGGTAGGTAATTTCGGAGAAACCAGCTCGAGTGCGCTAGAATTTGAAAATACACAACCGGAGAAAATCTGCAATCCTTACAGAGCCCCTCCTCCAACACACACGAACGCACACGTGACCAATGAGGGCACAAGATAAGTTTGTGCACAGATGGAAGGCTGACAGGCAGGTAGGCCATCCAGTTACTTTAGCCGGGCCGGCTCAAATGATTGGTCGTGCTTTTTACAGTACTACGGCTTCCACAGATGACGTTATTTTATGGATTTTTTGTCAAAGCACTTAAAATATTCATTGCTATCGGGATGTTAAGAGCATTCCATGGAATATAACAAAAAGTGTATCTCGAGCCGGTTTCTCAAACTTACCTACCCCACCTTTAAGGCGTAAGAGGAGTGTGAACTACCAGCTTTGCGCGTTGACACCTGGAAGACAGCTGATAGGAAAGGGGAGAGCATATATAGAGGGATTAACAGGTGCGATAATTAGGCTTGTAAATGGGGGGGGAGTGATAGGTTAGCTGAGGAGTGGCGCTCCCTGTCATTTAGTGCAGGGAGCGAGTATTGCCATGACGTGCAATACGGAGTGATAGGTCTTCCTGTCTGAACTTGCGCAAAGCTTCATTTGTCTAGGCTTCCCACTTTACCGGCTTTGTCCTTAATAACTGGCACCAACAGAACAGACAACATTGAGTCTGGTAACAAGCCATGACTCATAAAGGCAGTAAAGCAGATAGAAAGAAGAGGAGCTATCTTCACACTGGCATATTTAAGATGTTCAGCAGAAATATGATCTACACCACTGGCTTTGTTGTCAGACAGCTTGTTTATAGCTTGGCACACCTCATGTGGCATTATCATCATTGACTCATTGTTATCAATATCATCTACCTTATATCATCTACCTTATACAGTTCACTGCCATTATGATGGCATTGGCTTTATAATGTATTCTTTGGAAATTAATTATTTTCAGATATAAAAAAATTGGTTGTATTTATTTAAGTCCTTTTTGCGATATTTTGTAAACAATTTGGATATTTCACAAATCAACTACTAATGTTTCCCCATTTCTTTAAAATGTTTGGATTTGGATTATATTCATGTAATACTAATACAGTATTATATATTTAACATTTGTTATGATAAGTCTAGTAGAGATGAATTCTAACATTTTAATTAAGAAAATGGTGCTGTCCAGGTTGCCTCTGGATAATACACCAGCAGAAACAATTACTTTAGTTCATTAAAGTTAGTAAAAAGTGAAATGCCAAGTTTATCTTGAAAACAGAATGCTCGGTTCTACATGAACAAATAGGGGAAAGAACAAGACAGAACATTGATTTTTCTCCAATATACATAAAGATTACATTGATGTATTGATTTTTAAACAAACTTCGCATTTATAAGGGACAAAATCAAGGCAGAGAAACAGATTTGATCACTTTTTGTTTTGGTAAAGTCTAGAAATCTGTGCCAGGAAAAAACGGAGTTGAGCTGAAGTGAAATGAAAGGTTTGAGAATGAGGGCACACTGAGAGAAAGAGCAGGTTATAGGAAGAATAGAAGAAGAGTGGAGGGTGTAGAGGAGAGAGTGAGGAAGAAGAGGAAGAGGGTAGACAGAGTAGGAGAAAAAACACAGCGGAGGGAGAGACCATGAAGCGAAACGAGAAACTAAATAGATGAGAGATGTGACTGAATACTCTCTGAGTTTGTGATTCACTTCACAGCCTTTACATGCCTCTCGATATTGTTATATGTTTGTAACAGGCCATCATCCTCATCATCATCATCATCTTCCTCCTCAGATGCAGTAATATCACAAACACTAACTCAGTTATCGCAGTATAACAAGGTCCTGACCTGAGTGTTTAAACAGTCCACTGTCATAGTGGAAGTTCTTTGAGACTCTAAACAACTGTGCTTTGAGCTAAATGTTGACATGCTAATATGCTAAATTCCACAATGCTAACTTGTTGATGCTTATTGAGTAAGTATTTACGATATTCATCAAAATATGTACATTTTATTCAATATTCTAAGAGTACTCTTTTTTTGTAAATTCAACAGATTTATTTATTTTCAAATCAGATTTAGATATTTCACAGATTTATTCAACACATATTCAACAATTTTTTCTTTGTTTTGTTTTGGATTATTTTAAAGTATTCTTACAGTTTTTTTCAGAAAATCTACTAATAATTGTAAAATAAAAAAAGGAAATACAGTATAAAATCTCTTACATTCACATCTAACACCTAAGGCCTAAATGAGTAAATACCTGCCCATTAACAAAAAATGTAACTTGATCCTAAAAACAAAGCTGCATTTTTCAACAAAAACAACTAAATACATTTCCAAAACATGTAAAACCCAATTAAACCATCTTCCAGATATTTTCCAGTTCCTGAACGTTAACGCTCCCTCTCTGTGGCTCTCCACCTGAATGACAGTCAGAAGGTGTCAGCCTGTAGGTGTGACTGCTGTTACATAAACACTCTTCTATTTAAAGCTGCGGTGTGGAGTGTGTGCGGGGTCACCTGAGGACGGGCAGCCAGCCGCTCTCTCACTCATGTTTCTCCTCAGCGGGGGATCAGAGTATGTTTGTGTGCTCATGCGTGCTCTCCGCCTGCATTCATGCATATGTGTTGGCGTGGAGCAGAGTGTGTTTAGGTTTAGGGATACACTGACCTGAAAGGTTTTAGAGCCTGTGAACAAACAGGAGTGACAGTATGTAACAGTGTCTTCTTTTACCAGATGACACACTAGCTGAGGACTTTATTTATTTAAAAACATTAATGTATGAGGGTCATATAGGCTCAGGAGAGCACACGTGCATGTTTGCTGGCTCAAACGTGAGCGCAGTGGAGTGAAACAGTCGCTGTACATTCAGCTGACTGCCTGCTATCCTGGGAAGACCCGTCACACAGGCTGGGTTTCCACCACATTCCCCCACGTGACCACACACACACCACACACACACACACACACACACACCCACACACACACACACACACACACACACACACACACACACACACCACACACACACACACACACACACACACACACACACACACACACACTTCCTCCTGGGAAACAGACTATCCTTCCTTGTCATGTACAAGACGTCCTCACTTTGACCTCCCTTAAACAAAGCTCCCTTTTATGAACTACAAAAGATCCATGAAGTTGTAGTTTTTTTCTATTTGTTGTTATCAACGTTGTAAAATGAGGACACGTTTTTAATTTGATGCACAAATAATGTGCAGATCTTCAAGAGGAATTAGCTGGGGAAAAGTTACAGAAAAGAGACTGCACACTACATGATGCTCCTATGAAAGGAATTCCTTGTCTTAAGAAGAACTTCTCTATTTTCCCGGGTTTAAATGACACCAATGTATCATCTGTATGTGCAAGCATTTTTAAAGAGGCCCTATAATGCTTTTTAGGGTTTTCCCTTTCCTGTAGTGTGTTATATAGGTTTGTGTGCATGTAAATGGTCTACAAAGGGTCAAATCCCTGTGTTCCCTCCAGGGAGTTTCTCTCCCATTTTTTTTAGAGAATAAAGGTACACTTTCTGATTTGACTAGTGCAATAGCCTCCTATGGCTCACCTTAACAAAATCATTATTAAACTCACCACGGTTCTTAACAGCTGGCTCCTGGTTAAATAAAGAATCAACTAAAAATATGAATCACCTTCTAACCCAGCGCTCGGACCTCTCGAATATATTATCCTTAATATAATCTATAATATTCTTAAATAGGTCATTGGTCACAAAATTGGTACAGTTTGTACTATTACTTATAATTGTGCTTGTAACATGGTATTTCAACACTGCGGTATTACTATTAAACTGTAGTTTTGCGTCTTAACAATGTGAGAAGTTATCTTATAAATCTGTTTGTATGTGCATGACCATTACTACTGTAGCTTCTGTCACACAAATAGATTTTAAACAGTTTATACGTGCAGCGATTAGATCAGGGTAGCGCAAACTGTCGGGGGTCCTGTGAGGACGCGGAGGTCCAGCCAGCAGATCTGTCAGAGCTGAGGCATCCGAGACAGGCGGCCATTACTTCATTTGGGGAGGGGGAGGGGGGAGACAGGCTGGATTGACACAGCAAATGTTCTCATGTTAAAGGGATTATAAGAGAACAGAGGAGAGAAAGCATCACAGACTGACATTTCATCTACGTCACTGCAGCGGCACACACACCGAGAGAGTGTTCATCATCCTGAAATCACATAAAACTAGTTCATTGATTGTACAAAACATGCCTGTCCAGAAAGGGCCGAATGCTTGGCCATTGTTAATGCAGTTTGCAGGTTTCTCATTGTGAACTGCACCTCCCTTCCCTCCAGAGGAAAACACCTGTCAGGAGTGAGGTCGATCAGATTTACAGTTGTCGAGAGAATTATTAATACATCCACACACACTCTCCGATTAATATGGAGCTTGGTCAGTGGCACTGCTCGTCAAAGTCCACTCAGTTTGGGACGTGTGGGGGATGGCTAGTTAATGTCTGCTTGTTAGATGCAAAGTGTATTTTCTAATGAACTTTCAACGTACGCAAAAAAACTACTCGTCAGATCAAGGCAAGAAAAGTTTCGGGTAAGGATTAGGAAAATGTAAATTGGGTTTTGTCAATAATAGAGGATTGTCACGTAAAATAATTTGTATTTGTAACATAATCGATCAATGAATAACAAAATTGAAGTAAAAATATGTAATAATAGTCCTTGTAGCCACTGGGACACAGCTTCTTCTCAGACTCATGGTGAAGACATGATGAAGACTCAGGCTCATGGTGAAGACATGATGAAGACTCAGACTCATGGTGAAGACATGATGAAGACTCAGGCTCATGGTGAAGACATGATGAAGACTCAGGCTCATGGTGAAGACATGATGAAGACTCAGGCTCATGGTGAAGACATGATGAAGACTCAG